AATTCAAAAACAATTGAACATAATCAAAAATAACCAAATAATCAAGTAATTAAAATTAATTACTTAATACATTTTTTTAAACTAGACAATTAATTTTTAATCATTTAAAACGTACAAACAATGATATTTAATCACTAAACGGTTACCAAAAAAATATGCTTAAATTAGTAATCATTATTAGAAAATAAGTTAATGAAATAAGCCATTTGCGAAAAAATTAAAAATGGTACATTGTTTAAAAAATGCCATACCATCTTTTATATTAAAAATTTTTTTAAAAAAAGCACGGAAAATATTCTAATAGGTCAGCAATTACTGATTCTCTATCATAAATAAGTGTGACACGAGATAAGAATTCTAAGAAAACTTTTGACTCTAGGAAAAAGGGCTGAAGTTTGCATGTTTAAACTCGTATAACTCGACAAAAAACAGCAGTAGAAAAAAATTCTTTTACACATTCGTTACCGGTAACATACCATAGCAACAAAGTGGTGGAGTTTGAACAAAATTTTTTCCTGGTACACTGGGCGAATTTTACCCCATATTATATACATATACATATACATAATAATTTATAATATGTAATATGCATTATATTTTTAGTTGCATTTATTTAAGCATATATTTTGGAGGGAACTTTAAAAAATCTTGTACATTATTTGATCGCATCGCTCAACTTTTTGTTAATGGATTTAATCGTTGGAATTTTCTACGACCCTTTTATCAATTTAAGCTCGCGTACGTACGACTTAAATGAACAGCTATGGGCTAGCAGCAACATAAAACGAAAATAACAATAATAATATTAATTGCAACATTTAATTATTTACACAATTTCCATACAATTTAATTTTGCCTATTTTTTGTTATTGTATTTAATTTGTTTTGTTCCACAACGTGTTGCTGATGTAGACATTTATTGCCCAAGCTTTCGCTGTTGCTGCTGCTGCTGCGGCTGCTGCTGCGGCTGCTACTTACACACAGCATACAATTGATGTTATAGTTGTTTGTCGAAATGTTGCAGTTGATGCAGTCACTGATGTTGCACTGTTTTTACTGTTACTGTAACCGTTGTTATTGTTATAAATTTTGTTGCAATAAATCATGTACAGATTTTAACGCGTTGAGCGCACAGAGTAGTACGTGTAGTAATCATTTATGTATGTATGTATGTATGTATGTAAGTACCCAGTATACCCGCAGGCATTCGCGCGCAACCCTAAAAACTTTAAGCGTAAATATTTAAATGCTGGAAATGATTTGCACAGCCAAATGCGCAGCTTTAGTTGCAAATTGCACTTAAATAAGTGAGCTCAGCGAAAGGGCGATGCAAGCCAATGGGCGGCTGTCTGCAATGTTGTGCGGCTTTTTGCCGAGCGCGAATAAAATATTCAAGCTATTTGATGTGGCATTAAATGACATTTTCAACAAAAACTAATATCTAAGTATTTATTTAACTACTAAATGCATTAAATACTCTAATTACGCATTTATTTAAGTGCTATTATTCACTTTTGCGAGCCTCCACTCACCCCCACCCAGTCCCCCTTACCAGTGTTGTAATGAGACACCACTGTGTTGTGCACGCAACCAATTTGTGGCTTTGCTGTTTGCGGTTGAAGTGTGAAAAATGCAATTATTTCATTTCGTTTATTTTAAATGGACACACAAATATGTATACATTTTTTTCTTGCATTCATCAACAGCAACAACAATAAAACATACATATTAAACCCTCTCAATACAAAAAAAAAATCAGCGGCTGAAACTAAAAATCTGAAAAAAAAAATCAGAAATCGACTAATTTTTGGTCATTGATATTAAAAATACAATCAAAAATTTTATAAAAATTTTAGTTTTACCGTTATTCAGCGTCCTTTATATTGCACAGTGGTACTCAGGATTTTATTTTTTTTTCCATTTGCGAAATATATTTAAAAAAAAACTGAGAATAATATTTAAAAATTTTTCGCATCTCAATTCCACCGAAACATAGTTAATTTGTTCATAAATATTCCACTAGTCAATATCGATTTTTGTAACACTTCTCTCTTTTGTGAAAAAACGCGGTCAACTGCATCCAGAAAATACAGTAAGCGAAATGCGGTAAATAAGAATAATCGACTTTTCTCAAAACAACTGTTATTTTAAAAACAAAAGCTCTTATTGAAGAAAAAAAAGAGCTTTAAGTGCAAAAAAAGTTTGTCCAATATATTGAACGATTGTAATGAAAGGGTTAAACAACATCCTGCTATTAAGTACGTATTAAGGTATGTATGTATGTATGCATGCATGCAGTTTAAAGCAGGACACTTTGTGTAATTTGATCAGTTTTTGTGGCAAAAAGCCGTTTTTCGTACTTAAAAAGTGAGCACATTTTGTCCTGGGTATTTGATAAAGAAAACTTCAAACCAAACAAGGGTGTCTTTTGTTTTTTCTAAAAAACGAACGCCAACTGCTTAGCAGGTGGTCAAAGTCGTAGTCTGTGAGTGAGATATTGGAATCGACTTTGTGTTCTGTTTTTTAGCTATTTTCTAACAACCATGCATATGAAAGTTAATAACAATCTAAAATTGTACAAAAACAGAATTCGAATATTACATACCTCAGAAACCGACGAAATATTGTCCTCAAAATCAGTTAGGTATGTACATATTTAGTTCCTTTACTACATGTATTATCTGAAAATAAGAAAAACTAGGGTTAATTAAATATTGTTAAATTAAGGAATACAATTTTTCTTTTTGCATTATAGCATTTATAAATATTTATTCGTAAAAAAAATAATTTTTGGGTGATATGTTTATAAACTTTTTCGCATCATAAAGCATTATGTTGAAAAAACACTTTCATGCCGTGAATTCATGTAGTTGTAGATACACCAAAAACTGCAATAGTTGAAGATCGAAAGAACTTCTCCGCATATTTTTTACTATTTTTACAAGTTTCGAGACATTTTCGATGTTTTGAAGAAATACCTCTTTAGAAAATACCTGCTACCTTTTGATCTCTGTGGGAAAATTCAATATTTTATCTTTAACAAATCCTATCTATGCACGAAATACGCTTTCTGCTTGCCAAGCAAGAAGTAAAGTAAGCAAAGTACTGTAAAGGGGAATTACAGCCGGTTCTCACTTTCTCACAACCACCCGCTTTCCAATACACTCCATAAAAATAACTAGATATGTATGTATGTAAGTTTTATCTCATAAATTTTACGATCCGATTTATACGACGAATAGCTCCTGGCTGATGCTAAGTCAAGACGTTTGCCATGGTTTTGATGATATTAGAGGACAAAGTGCTGTTATCAGGAAAAAGCTCACCAGTAGAGAATTAGATGTCTATGTTTACATATATGTCAGGAACCTAAAAAAAAAACATGTATATATTTTGATATTCTTTATGCCTTTTTGTTATAGTTTTATCGTAATTTGTGAAAAAATCTTTTTTACTTAATTTTTAAAAAGAAACAAAATACTGCGATCTGACCAACATTGATTTTGAAATGGAAATCCAACGGGCTCGATTAATCGATTTAAAATCGGCACCACTAGTTGATATTCTCTGCTTGCGCAGCGGATTTCGATTAACTGCGGCTTTAATGACTTTTGGCATTCGCACAGTGCGCGGACTGGCGGATTTTCCACGTTCGGCTATTGCTTAACCATATAAAGACGAAATATATTTCTTTTCATTGAAATTTTAAAATTTTTAGTTTACGAGCTTATAAGCTTTCTAAACAGTAAAGCCAAAAATAAAATAAAATCTCATGCGAGAAAAAATTAAAGGTAAAAAAATGGCTTTCGCACACAAAAATACATACATATATGCAAGCGTGAATGGGTAAAGTGTTTTTGTATTTAGAATTCAAATAGTTAAGCAGACAGTAATTGATCAAAAGCAACTACGAATCATATACACTACTGGTGGAAAAATTATGCTCGAACAAGGTCAAGTGAAAAATGTGAAGAAATTTTTGTAGTAAACAACAACGAGAATGATGGAATAGTATGCTGTGTGAACTGGAAGATTGCTTTCTTATAAGTATAATGTATGTATGTATGTGTATACCTATGTGCCCTACATGCATCTGTGTACCTGTGATGACGCCGATCACTTGTGTGCCATGATTCATGACTCACTGACGACGTAATGAGAGAAACAAATAGAAAAATAACAACACAAAAACTAGTATGCGTGAGAAATATCCAATATATGTACATTAGGGTGGTCCTTAAAAAATCAAATGAACGATTTTTTTCAGTCTCACGCCTTCAATCGTTAATACCACGGTCACAGATATCACTTATAAATCTTGGTCCCGATTGGAGATGGTAAAGGCTTGTCGCACGGGGGGGGGGCAAATTACAGGTAGAGGAACCTCAAACTCAACTCAAGCAATTTATACTACCCCTGTGTCCCCCAATCGGGACCAAAATTTATGTGTGATATCTTCGACTATAGTAGCATCAACGTCTGGGTTGAGGCTTAGGAAATCTGAGGTAAAAATTTGCTTCCTACATTTAAGGACCACCCTAATGTACATATGTATACACAATCATTTGTAACTAAAAACATATTTATCCAAGTACAGATGTACTTATAAAAATTTTATGCTAAAAAATATTTATTGAGAGTCATCGAATGAATTAAGGCTTGTGCTCACACTCGCTCCCAAAAAAAAAGAAAGAAAACAAAAACGGGAATATGAATTTGATTAATAGAGTAGGCGAAGTATTATACACATATGCATAAAAGAGAGCAGGAGAGCGCATTCGTACTTATAGGGTTCCATTCGCTGAGAGCAACAAAACCGTGCAATCGTACTAATTTAATTAGCCACCACTGTGCATGCATGAACAGAGTGAGACCAAAGTGATCTCCAAGATATCGAAATGCAGCACACAAGCTATTGGTAGAAAAGAAAGAACCTGTTCAACGCTGATCGCGGCTGAAGCGAGTCAACACTGTGCCAAACGATTGAGAAAAAGTATCTGTGTATCTCACAACGCTACCTACACACACTACCAGGGTTTCTGCTCGAGCAGATACTGACTCGTTCCGTAGCACAGCAAAAGTGTATGCATTATTTGTTGCTTAGTTTCAGCAGAGATTCCAAAGCGTTTGGGTGTGTTTTTTTTTCGTATAACGGGCTGTCACTTTGTAGCTGAGCTGTCAAACGTCACGACCACTGCAAAGACTAAGAAGAAAAATACACAAATAAAACCAGAGTGCGTGTGTGTGACTGGATAAAACGCCACCAGACAATTAATGAGAAAAAAATTTGGCAACTTTTCAAGAAACTAATTAAATAAAAGCAAGAAATATTAAAAAAAAACGAAAGGTAACTGCGTGGTGACGCGCATTTGTTGACATTGAAATTGTGTCGAAACGCTGGTGTATCGAGCAAAAGTTTTATTAATTTTAATTTTAATAGTTGTGTAATCGCAGCTAAAGTAGCTACAGCAGCAAACGAGTTGACTTTTAATTAGTGTAACGGCGCAAAAGTACAATAAAAAATTAAAAAAAAAAAAATAGTTAGCGAAAAAATAGTGAGCTAATACCTACACACATACACACATATATTTAAACAAAAAATACGTAAGCAAGTGTATTCGCTTCTATAGAATCCAATAATCGAGCGAGCGATCGAAGCAGATAGCTGAAGTTTTACGTACGTAGAACAACCCCCCACCCGCAGCAGCAGCAGCAGCAGCAACGTCGCCGCGACACGTCCAACTCCGACGCAGCAATACATACAAGCAAGGCGAAAGAACTGGTATATCAAGCAGCAAATTCTTAGAATTTAATCGGCAAAAATCAGCAAGTGCTGCCACAACAACAAAAACAATAGCAGAGAAGGTAGGAGCAACAAGAATTCTCACTGCGATAACCGCCTAATCAAGCAAAGCAGAACAACAAAAACAATTATCCGCAATAGAAGCGGTTAACGAATCTCCCCTGACCCAACAACCTCCGTCTCCCCCCTCCTTCAAGCAAAATGCAGGCCATCAAGTGCGTCGTTGTCGGCGATGGTGCCGTTGGTAAGACTTGCCTACTCATCAGTTACACAACAAATGCCTTTCCCGGCGAATATATACCCACCGTATTTGACAATTACTCCGCCAATGTGATGGTCGATGCGAAACCCATCAATTTGGGTCTTTGGGATACAGCCGGTCAGGAGGATTACGATCGTTTGCGTCCACTCTCCTATCCGCAGACTGATGTCTTTCTCATTTGTTTCTCTTTGGTAAATCCGGCCTCATTCGAGAATGTACGCGCCAAATGGTATCCGGAGGTACGTCATCACTGTCCCAACGTGCCGATCATTTTGGTGGGCACCAAGTTGGATTTGCGCGACGATAAGGCCACAATCGAGAAGCTGAAGGAGAAGAAACTCACACCCATCACCTACCCACAGGGTTTGGCTATGGCGAAGGAGATTGGTGCTGTTAAGTATCTGGAATGTTCGGCGCTGACGCAGAAGGGCTTGAAAACGGTATTCGATGAGGCCATACGTTCGGTGCTGTGCCCGGTGATGCGCGTGAAGCGATCGCGCAAGTGCGAGCTGTTGTAAGACGATGGTGGGCGTGAGCTGAAATGTTGGAGGAAGTGACGAAGTTGCATTTTTTTATTTTTATTATTATTTTTTTTTGCTTTAATGGATCTAAGACAAAAGTCGTACGAAGAGGATGGAGATTCAAGCGGAAAGCAATTTTTGCAAGCAGTCTTGCGGAAGATATCAGACATACATACATACGTATATTTATGTGTATGTATATTTATTTGTGTCAACAAGTAACTAGTTATTATACATAAAAATTTGAAGAAAAAAATAAAAAAAACCAAGAAAGTGGAAAACATCAGTGAAATTATAAAAGCAATTTAATAACTAATTAATGCACTTTGTAACGTTGTACATAGTATTTGCGTAACCTATTTATGTAAACAAAGGTGCGAATGTATGCGTGTACATAAGCAGCAAAGCGCATACTTTTCATTTTTTCATATTTTTATTTTTTTTCTTTTAGTTTTTATTTGTTTTTCTCTTTATTTTATTTTTTCGTTCTTTCGTTATTATCGCTTCATATAACAAATATGGATACTTCGGTTAATGTGTGGGGCGCACAGAACAAAAGTAAACCAACAAAAATGAAAAAAAAAATCGTACTCATTGTAATAAAGTAATACGACAAAAGCCAGACCAAAGCCGAAGCTTAATTCAATTGATTGCTTTGGAATTTATCTCCAGCAAACTGGAACCAGCAGCAGCAGCTGGTTGTGTGTGGGTTGCTGACAGAAGAGAAGCACTTTAAATGTTTATTCTCTCGACAAGGCAATCGAGTGCAGCTGAGAAGAGAGCGTTCTTAATTTTATTTGCACAAATGGACGCTTGGTTTTGTTTGCGAATAACTAGGAAGGAAAAACTCGAAATAACCATTCATAGAAATTTTAACCGCTCAGAAAAAATTTCGAAATTTTTGAGTTGTTCGAGGCTTTTTCCTTTAGGAAAAAATATTTTGAATTTAAGTTAAATATTCTTAATAGTTTACAGTGACTTTGTGACTCTGCATCGAATGAATATACTATGTACATGTATTTTGAACAATTATTCCTTTTTACCCCGCAGTCCTTAATTAGGAAAATAAAGGTTAGTATCCATATGGCTACCATGGGCACGAAAGGGTTAAGGGAATACCAGCAAACCGTTTTGAGTATGAATTTTATAGTACAAAGCTAAAGTTATAAGTAGATCGTCGCAATTTATTGTTTTGAGCGAAAATAATCGTGAAAAGTGCGGAGGAAATGGGACCTAATAAAATCTAGGAGAATAGAAAAAAACCATTGAACATTAATGTTTGAAGATAAAACAAAATACAACAACTAAGTTTATTTGCGGAAAGTAATACTCGTTAAAGGCAAAATATTTAAACTTTTGTGAGATTTTATAACACAACAGTGTTGCCAGATTTTTTTATTTTTGTCAAAGAACTGTTAAATTCCGTAAACAAATGGATTTTCGACCCTTCAAAAACGAAGAGAATTTTTAAAAAATTAAGGCCTTTTAATTTTATTAAACATGAATAACAAACGAGTAACTTAAAATATAATATCATAAACCGTTTAAATTATACCAAACTAAAAAAAAAAACTTTATAAAATGGAACATTTAGATCACATGTTTAACGAAATTCAGTTGTATTAATTTTTTTTTATTTAATACCTCCTGGAGCTTTTTTCCAAGAAATCTTTAGTCCTTAAATTACCAGAGAGTTGCCAATTTATTTCTTGTTTTATTCAAATTGATTTTGGAAAATATTCTTTTCATAATTGCTGTGACGACTGGATTGCAAAGGACCACTGAAACCGTTGGTTTCAAATGAGGAAACCCTGCTCCTTCATCGTCCTTTTTATCTTTAAAATCTACTTACAAAAAACCGAAAGAGCTGCAATGCGTTGTTTGGTGCCGTGGAAAGGCGTTATGATTGCAAGCACAGACGGCAGCTTTACCAGTAGGAGCTGGAGAAGCGCTACCAAAACTCCAACGGTACTCTGCAGAAATTCGCTCCCCGAATTAAGGGATTGCAATTCCGGTTTTTTGTCCTCCTTTTTGAGAGGCAGTTTTGTCAAATTAAAGGACTTCGTCATTTCCAAAATTTTCTCCTTGGGATTTATTTAACAATCCCACTTCCGACATGCGATTATCCTTCAATTCAACTCGTATTCGTTTCACTGGATTGTTTAATAAACGCTCAATTTGCAGTACAACAGCCAACACCTTAAAATACATGTTGAGGCACGTCCTTCTCTTGTGGAACGATCGGTCATTCTTCTCTAGTTTGTTTTGACCTGCAATTCATGTTTTGAAGAATTCGCCACACTATGACTACACATCTGCGTTCGATTTGCAATAAAAAATTCAAGTAATTTTCTGTTTTAACCCCGCAAAGTCATCAGCAGCAAATCGGATATTTAAATTGATAGCTCGCACACACGTAAATACATATATACGAACATATATACACATGTATATGCCTAGGCATTGCACATACGCACACAATCAGTTGAGAGAGTTAGTAAGAAGATAAATAAAAATTTGTATGTCTGCACTGCACCACCCCCCTGCAACTGTATTTGTTCAAATTCAAAAGAAAACTTTCCGGCCAGCATATGTTTAGAGAAAAATTCCGGAAAATGTGTAAAGTTTATGTCTTTGGCCTGGTTTTTTTGTTTGCACCCCTAAAGAAAATCTATTTAATTTTTTAATTTATTATGCAAAGAAAAAATAAATATTTAAATAAAATTCGAGAAATTTATGTATGTATTACATTTTCGGCATGGCTTTCCAGTAAGTTGCAAATATTGTAATAGCAGAAAAAAAACAAAAACCGTAAAAAAAATAAAAAAGGGTCAATAGTAAGTTATTTATATTGTCTTCCAAATTGTGCATTTTCTCCATTGTTTGTGCAATTAATTGCTATTTAATTAAGTAATTAATTTTAAGTAATGAATTTTGTATTTTCTTTTTTTTTGTTATAATTTGCAATGCTATAAATCCTTTATTTGGAATTATTATTATTTTCTTGTATATTTAATAAATATTCATTAAAAAATAAGCAAAATTAAAAATGAAATTTATACATCGATATGCATACGTTTTGATAATAAACTAAATAATTGTATTAATAAAAGCAGTTGAAAGTATTTTCCTGGTTTTATTTTCAAACTTTGTACTACCTTTTTTCCCAATTTGAATTTTTTTTAGGTTTGGGAAGAGATTTAAGAGGGCACGATTTCGTAAAATGCCTATAAAATAAAATCCGTAAGTGAATGGGATTAGCCTCGGAACGAGCCGCTTTTTATTAATTATATATCGTCAGCAGAGTGAAAGATCGCGCTGTCTAAGAATCAGCTTCGAAAATGCCCTAACTCCAACTCAATATATCGGCAGCTGAGACAGGGCGTTCTTCAACCAAATTCTGAAATAGGACGTTTTACAGCCATTAGCTGCGATGGGGAATTTTCGCATCGGCAGCCGAGATCGGACGATCTTCCACGCGAGCAGGGATTCATTTATAGTGCAGACAAAGCTTTTCGCCCGACAACTGCTGCAGTATGCCTGTATTCGTCTAATTGCGCTGTGCAATAATTTCAGGGTCATTGTCTGGAGGACGGAATAATTCCAACTTAGGATTAAAGATCTAGACCCATACAATAAAACCTCGAAATCTTGTTGCTTGCTCAGGTAATATTTTTCTTTTATGACCATATTAAGTTTGCAATTTTTGCCTGGATATTTTTATACTAAGTGGAAAAAGGGCTAAAAGTAGATTAGAACGAAATATATAGTGATAACATTTCACTAATAATAATTTTGTAGAACATTTTTGCTCATTAGCTTCTCACAAGCGGGTACTACCAGTTTTACCGTTGTGCGACTAAAGGGGTAATTTTGCCCTTTTTAATGGCCAATACCCTTTGACTCGACATTTTGAAAATTTTAATTTTTTGACTCTTTTCCAAAATTATGTGCGACTTTTGCCCCTTTTCAGCGATTTTTTTTTATGGTTTTAGGTTTTGTGCAAAGCTTGTCCCGCTATTTTCTTTTTCAAATTCAACAAATTTATTCTTTTACGCGTAAATAAAAGCAAAAATAATATGGTGACTCTTTTTTCGTCAATTACACATTTTTTGCGACTTTCTGAAAATTCTCAACGGCAACCCTGGGTTCTACTTACAAAACAATGACCTTCACGAAAACCCCAAAATAATCAACAAATTGCTAGCGCCGCTACCAGGGTTTGAAAATATTTAATCTTTTTGTAAAAATCGCTAAAACTGGAAAAAAATTTACTTTGAATCTGATAAATTTAGCATATTAATGAAACTTATTCATATCAATTCCCAGACGAGCTGCGTTATAGTTGGTCAAAGTAAACCATTTTGATATTTTAAAGATCACCCTTAATCTACATACATTTTTACTAAGAGTATTAAATCATTTTGTTCAAATTATGTGAGATACATTCATTGGGTACTCGTTTTAAAGCAGATGCAGAACAACATCAGCAATAGTCGAAACAAATCTGTATCTTACAAATGTACCAACAATTTGGCACGATACTGTGAACACCCCCAACGACATATACACACTCACTCTCCGGCAAGAAAACCTAAGCTAATCAAATTGAGTGTGGCATACTTTCAGGCGTAAGTTTTAATTAAATCGCAATGGAGTATCATCACTAGCGCGCTACTAGCTGGCTAATTATGTACTTATGTACATGTGCATGTGTGCGCTAAATAAATGAAATACTTTTCTTATAAATACTTCACGCCTAATGCGAAAAAACAGGCAAATTCTACGCTTCATTAAAATATGTTTTCCTTAACACATTCAAAATGACATTCAACACAAAAATGCGCACTTAAGCAAGTATATATTTATGTATGTATGTATGTATGTATGTATGTACAACGAGACAAACAAGAGCAACAATGTTGATTGATTGCTAATAAATTGCCTGTTGCTCGACGCTCATTAGCTGAGTGCGAATTCGATGAAATATGATGGGTGGAATAAAAATAAGCAGCTAGAAACACGCGCAGCTACTGAGATACTAAATATGTATATATATATATATATATATAAGTGGAACATGCAACGGGGATCATTGGCATGCAAATTGGCGAAAAATTATGAGAAGTGTTACAAAAACACACATACATAGGTATAGTTGGATATAAATTTACTCACATAAATTTGCATGCTGTGTGCCGCTCGGTGGGATGTTGCACATCAGCGGGTGGCAAAAGCAATACATAGCAGCCATGTTGCGCTGTTGATTTGTGTAGTGACACTGTTGCCGATGGTGTTGCTGTGCTACTCGTCTGCCACCGTTGGTTGATCTGCATACGAATATATCTGAGTGAATGAGTGGCGTAAGTTTCAATGCCAGTGGCAGCAATTTGCCAACAGCAGCAGCAGCAGCAGCAGTGATGCAAATTACATAGCTTATGGTGACAAACAAGCAGCAGCAGCTAAAAGCGAACTGTGCGAATTCGCATAATTGACCTATATTCACAGTTAGTATGAGGAATATTCAACCGAAGGGAAATAAAATATCTAAACAAGCGGTTTTTGAGGGGGCACGACATTTGAGTAGACATTTTGGTATGTGAAACTTGGCAAGACATGAGTGCTATCAATCAAACATTTTTGAGGCTAAATAAGTAAAAAATTGGACAATAGGTGCTGGGTAGGGGGTTACGTGTTTGCAGTCGCAGCCAAGCCCTCGAACTATTTCCAAACTAATTCGGCAATACAACGTTCGGTTTATTTATGTTGATAAACATTGGGAAAATGTTTCACACGATATCGTACCATTTGACTAGAAAGCGTTCGGTATAAGAGTATTCTTCGGGCAATCAGGTATCAGTACTTCCACCTCTCGCCAACGAAGCCGCCGACATATACTTAGTAAATACAGTCAGTGTCAAAAATATGAAAATCCTGACATTTTGACAATTTTCTTTATTAATATTTTCCATACCAATTTTTTTAATTTGTTTATAAAAATATTAGGCATTCAACAGAAAAGGCCAGCAGAATCAAAAAAAAAAAAGAAAACAAAAAAAAAATTTCATCGAAATTTTCAACTTTTCAATTCCATTTCTTAGAAAAAATTTGAGTACGCAGTTTTGTAGCCCATTAAACTTTAGTATAAGAGAGCGCTAGTTTTAAGTCTCTAAAAATTACCGCTGATTTTGGATACTTTTTTTTTTGTTAAGGGTGTTTCGCATTTTCTCCATATAACGCATGAACAAAATTTATTTTTATATGAAAGAAAATGCGGAACACCCTCGACAAAAAAAAATCAAAAATCAATGGTAATTTTTAGAGACTCGAAATTTGCATCATACCTAAAATTTGTCTAAGAAACTGGAATTGAAATGTTGAAAATTTTGATGAACGAGTTTTAGATGAAATTGAAAAAATAATTCTGGAGGGATTTTGCTGTTGCATGAACTATATTTAAAAAAAAAAATAAAATAAATAAAATTTGGTATGGAAAATATAAATAAAGAAACGTCGGGTATTCATATTTTTGACGCTGATTGTATATCGCTCAGCGATGATTGGTGGCATCGCATGGCTGCGGCTGAGCTAAGCTCATGTGTCCCTCGATCCAAGAAGGTGTGGCTAACTAAGTACATATGTACATAAATATATGTTTTCATTTTTGATAGCAAAAACACATAACCATGGTCGGCATATATGAAAGCCATTTCTGTCTTGAAAATAATGAAAAGGCGGAACATTTCTGTAATTCTGCCCGCGCTTGAGCGATGAACACCTAAGCTTTGTGAACTCGATTTTTTTTCGTGTGACAGTTGCATTTTAACCTGATTAAAGGAACGCGAAAAAAGTACAATCGTTTGTAGTCTGATTGATATTTTCTGATTTATGATTTATGATGTGTGTAGCCATGTTAAGATAAGGTTGAGGAGGTGCCACAGTTTCACTCACATTAATTCTGAGGTCCGCGAAAATGTATCCAAAAGAACAAAGATGTTGGCTTTGCCTATCAATGTAAGCAGATAATACACTACTCAAAAAAATTAAAACAGAAAAAAATCCAAAGTTTTAGGTAATTTCGACAGGCTGTATTAATTTTAAAGTTTTGAGATTCTAATTTTCAGATTTCTTGGCTAAAATTTTAGGAGCAAAAACTCTTTATTAGAAAACGCTTTAGAAAGGGCGAAGAAATTTTCTCGTATTAAATTTCCCTCAGGCAGTACGCTTTCTACTACGGTTTTTAAAGTTTTTTTGTAAATAAAGAATACCAGGGATCCCATGTTCGCAACAGAAATTTATGCCCGTTATTTAGTGAAGAAAGAGTGGACAACAGATGTAAAATTTCCTTCGACATACACGAAATAATGAAAGTTTTTTTTACCGTTTTCTTAAAAGCTGGATACCAAGCTTTAACTGCTCTACTAGATCACATTACATTCAAGCTAGGACCGCTGTTCTCAGTAGTTGCTTTTCTATTACAAAAAATTTTAGCTTGAAAGACTCTGCAGTCGATCGGCAAGCGATAGGACTGACTGATCCGGAGCAGTAGTGATACAAATGTATTCAATTGGATAAATTTTTGCTGTAAATTTTGAGAGATACTTCCGGTTTTGCCTCGGGTTAAATTTTATTACATTTTCACATGCATAAGTATGTGTGTAACTTATAGCCAGTTTCACGAAAGCAATTTAAGTGGAAAATGATTTTTTGAATTGAATTTAATATGGAAACTGACAGAAAAAAAATCATTTTTAGCCGACTTGACAAAAAGGAGAAGATTATTAATTCGTCGGAATATTTTTTTTATGTATCTTACCGCAT